TCCCCCCCGCGGACCTGGTCCACGGACCACAATACGGTCCGGTCCACGGACCCCCCTTTAAGGACCCCCCAAAAAGACAATAAGGAGCTTACGAATCGACGACTTTCACACGACGCCGCCGCTGGGTCACGTCATAGTTCTGCGTTGCCGTCCTGTAGAAATTTAATTTACGATCCGTAGTAAAGACGACGACGTTGGTGCGCGTGACAGGCAAATTTTCCCGCCGTTCCTGAAGTTTGTTTTCTTTTTTTTCACAAGTAAGCTTATTTGTTCAACCAAAATGTCTAAATTCATAAGAGAAACGAGAGCTCGCATTGTAGACGCTTATGGAAACAGATTTATAAAGGACCGAGTATTTCACTGTATTTGTACTTTCAGTGCGTTTCGTCAACAAAATCAGAGTTAACTACGGATTTAGACGAGACAACAAAGGACGAATTCAAGGCGCGTTTATAAACAGGGAGGACATTTATAAACTTGCTGAACAGCTGTAGTTACTGAGATGAGATAACCACTTGCAATGGTCTAGTTGTAGGTTTGGTACCATCTTGCCAATATGGCCGGTTTCACTCGGTGTTAATTTATGTTTGTCTACAGCTAGCTATGGTGTTGATTCTTCGGATCGTTACTCCAACGAACACACGCAAACAAACCGAAAACATATGTAAAGAACATGTCCCTAATGTGATACTTGAATTATCTGGAAAAATCCGCTGAAGTATGTAGGGAAAACTTTGAGAATTAGTCTCACGTCCTGCTTTTTCTAGGACGCCGGCGAATCGCTGTCAACAACGGCGTCGACTTTGGCGCGACTCCGGCAAGTGCCCAGATAAGCATGCGCAGTAAGCCTGTCACACAGTCCAATGTCGTCGTCGTGCGAAAGTCGTCAATTCGTAAGCTCCCTAATGATAAAAATGACAATAAGAAGTTTGACTTATCGTTTGTTTTGTTTTAATTTTTGTTCTTGTTGCCTCCTTCACTCTGACTATGAAGGGAGGACCTGCGTACTTCGAAAAAGACCGGTTTTTTTGTGAGCCCGCGAGATGGTCATGTGATATTTGTCAGTGGATGCCCGATTTTGACAGCTGTCAATTCATTTTTATATGGATGTCGTCAAGAGAGGACCTTTATCCTCTCTTGATTGTTTATATAACTGAGGGGGTAGTGTCAATTTGTGCTTGTCGTAAATGTGACATTTGACATCAGCTTAAATGTTCGGGGTGTACGGACGGGCGACGTTCTGGAGTACGCTGTCGTCATAACCTAATTTTTTTGGATCGAACAGAAGTTCCGCTATAAACAAATCTCGTGGGGAAAAAACGTCGAGGTGGAAAACAATCATGCCAGATCGGCGCTTCGGCAATTTATTCCAGCTACCACGCCCGGCGTATCTCTAGAAAGTGGACTCCAAGTGGACGAATACTGTTATTTTTGAAGAAACCTTAAGCGCGCAAACAAATATATTTTGGCACGAAATAAAGATTAACAAAATGTTTGCTAAAATTTAATACACGAAAAAAAAATGTTAGCACTTTCGAGGAGTGCGAAATATTAAATGGGATTAAGTCGTCTTAGCTGCCCACAAAGCTTACATCCCTGCGTGGTTTGGACGTCCAGTAAAAACACTCTGTGACCTCCCATGTTCAACAATAAAACGTCATAATAAACGTCAACTTACACCATTTTGTAAATCACGTTTTGCCAAGATGATGAAAGTGATGAGTACATCATTCTTTGCAATTTTGATGGCCTTATCATGAGCGGTTTTCAAGTTACAGAAGGGGAAATCCAAAGCCCCTTCCTGGACAATGGAAGCGGTCTTAATTGGATTTAGGGACTTGTCAGAAATTAGAAGGGGGGAGGGGAGGTGGAAAACAGAGGAGGTTTGCAGTTTTTTGAGCCCTTCAAAAGGGGAGGTTATGAAAAAAAATGAGAGGAGACGAGGGAGGGTCACGAAAAATAAGCCATCACGATCGTCAAGGGATGCTTCAATATTATGTTTTACAAGAATACAAACCACATATAATGAAAATCATGACATGCAATTATTTCCTGACATACAGTTCAACCTCCATCAAGCGGCCACAGCCACCTTTTGGCCATCCCAAGGAGAGTTTTGTTTGTTGTTGCCTCTATCAAGCAGCCAAGCATTAAGCGCTTGATACACATGCTTTGGCTTTATTTCAAGAATACGGTGAAGGAAAATACAGTCCGAGATAGAAGTTGCCGACCGCCGTGTGGACCAGAAATACTACTCCCGTTGAGTGTTTGTTTCAAAATAAAGTGATGTTTCTGCGAAAGATTACTACCAATTTTAAGACGAACCTTTATTGAGCGGCCAACCCCCAGATTGGTACTTGCCAGTACCTCCAGGGTAAGAACCCAACTTCTAAAACTAACAGCTCATGATTTGCATTTGCACGTCATCATCTCAGAAGAACTACTCTCTCTCTCACGGCTTCAAACAAAATCAACAGTACTCCCTTCGTGAATATCATCATCAACAACAATGCTATCTCCATCGCAATCATCATCATCATTCTCCTCATCATGTCCACCATCACTATCACCATCCTCAGTCTCAGACATTCAGAAGTCTAACTTTTTTCGCGAAAATTGTTTCTCTTTGTTTCCTTTGTCCTGTTTGCCCAACAGAAGAAACACCTGCCTGTCCATCATAGGTCATTTTTAGTACAAGTTTGCTTTTTTGAAAGTACTAAATTATTTTCCTTGTACCACTGCATAAGAATTCGGACTCAGGAGATGGTCATAGAATTTTAGGAAGCTTTCCAGGGAAGGGTCAGGACATTTTAATTCCTTACCTAGGGAGGGTCATTTTATTTTTGTCGCTTAACTGAAAATCTCCACCTCCCCTCCGCTCTGCTAATTTATGACAAGTCCCTTAAAAAGAGTTTGGCGCTTGTTTCAGGCTCTCTCTTCTCTCGCTTGAATAAAATGGGCGAGGCCTGGGAAGAGAAAGAAAACATTTTTCCTCCCGTTCTGTCTAATCTTTATTTTCAGCTTTCACCGTATGAGATCACTTCCGCGTTTTTAAGTCAATCTCAGAGAAATTCCATGGACAATTATTATAGAAAACAAAAAGTCTTCTTTACTGAAATTTCATAAATATGAATTGTCAGGAAAATCAGTGGTGATGGATATGACATAAGTAGTAAGGTAGGGTCCAAAATATCCTTTTTGCGGAGTAATACATTGAACCTGATGGCGTCATACCCTTTTGAATGAAATGCGGCGGAGTGTCATTAAGATAAGATCATTTGTCATTTTCGGTTGTTTAACCGCTTTGACAGATCGATCAAGATCGATTATTTCATAGTTTACTCTAAATTATGTGCGTCACGGCCTTTTTTGAGTATGATAATCTCATGGATTATTTTAAGGTGTAACGATAGTGTCCTTATAGTTTTCATGATGTGTTTTGATTGGCGGACTAGAAACTAAGAGAATATCCTTGGTTGATGCATGTTGTCGAAGGAGTAAGTTATAACTCACCTGTTACTTACAATCACTGAGCCGTAACGTATTTATGCAAGTCCTATTTCCTGCCGCTTTTTAATTCACAGCCCATTGCAAACAACAAATTGTTTCAGTTCTGGTTCACTGATTATTGGCGCGCAAATCGTGCATATTAATGACAACAAAGGCAAACTAGTCTTCTTTTTCTAGCACGAGGTACAATTTTTTCTTACCCCTCCCCCTTGCCTGCTTCTTCACAAAAGAACTTATTTACGGTGCCCGCTTGAACTCGCTTTGCGATTGATGGGATAAAAGCAATGCACTCGGTATTTCAGGGGGAAAACAAGTGTTAAAGTTTGCCAATACGAGTAATCGCGGTCGATTAAAACAATTCGACAATTTTAGACGCTCGAAATGTACAGTTCGAGTTTCGACAAGTTTAACGTTATTATTGTTTGTTGTGAGGACAGCTGATCTACGGTCGTACTGCATTAAAAAAAAATAACAACGATCACCTCCACCCATAATTTCCACACGACCGCGATTTCTTGTATTGGCAGATTTTATCACTTATTTGCCCCCTGAGAAAACATATGCCATTCATTTTAAGCACCTATCAAGATGGCGGCTATCGTTAATAAGGTCTAATCAATTATTCGCTCCTCCTCCTCCTCCTCTTTTTTTAAAGTGCAACTGAAAACACTAAATACCACGCAGTTTATTCTCCTGCCGTTTCATGAAGGAAGTTTAGACCATCAGCATTATTAGAAAATGTCATTATACACTGTGTTTAGGGCATGATACCAACCAATATGCAAGTGCTTTAACTCGCTTCCAAAGTTAAAACGAACACTTTACATTTGGTACAAAATTTTACGAGAGACGAACCTAGGGAACACGGTCCGACCATAGCGTTGCAGCTGCTGCATTCTCCAGGCCTGTACATTGATGGTAGGCTTTGTAAAAAAAACTATTTCACTAGAAAATACGTCCTATCATAGTGGCGTGAACTAAAGTACACTAAGATTCCCTAAACAGACTTTTTCGACTCTTTCGCCTAATAAGAAACGACGCCCAAGATTACACTGCAATGGCACTGTCTTGTTTGTTCGATCAACTGTCAATTATTCATGACATTGGACTCAAAGATCTGAGTGTCGTTTAAGAGAAATATACTAAATGGATTTTACACAATCGTTCATGTAACAGAAGATCTCAGTACTGTAGACTTGTTCAGAGAAAACAGTTACAAAGATTATTAACTCAGCGGGGGGGGGATTCCTTAAGTGGGGTCTGTAACGAAAGGTTCCAGTGTGCTTTTTTGATTTTCCCTTTCACCCACCCCTCCCTCCCCCTTTGATGTGTATCGTCAGAAGCCCACCGAATTTTACCGTACCCAGGTGCCCTTAATCCATCCCATTTATTTTGGGAAACAGGCCTGTCTTAATTTTTTCAATCAATCTGATTTTCACGTTTCTTTCATTTGATCTAGTTCCTCAAGTGGCTGAAAATACTGACCAGAGATGACACTGCAGCCGTTTAGAGACGAACAGTTGAATTTCTTCAAGTTCTTGTCTTTAGTTTTAAATGAATTTCCAAAAGCCTTACGACAGACTTTTAAAACCATGTGGGACAACGCCTATGGAAGTCGCCCTGGTTTCCACCTCTGGGATGATTCATCTGCTGTGAGAAATTTGTTTGCCACTACAGAGGGTGGTAAGACTAAAGTTCCTATTCACCGGTCTTTCAATGAATGGGATTGCACCACCTTGTTCCAGGCTACCATATTTGCGCGGTCTTTTGCCTCACCAGCCAGCACAGGATCCTATACCACGCTCAATGATTTGTACGTGAAACCCCGTGGAATTCCTCATGGTAGTTTCCACGCTTGTGTGCTCAGTCCGGCTGGAAACATTAAGGAGACCTTTGCACTTGCCATTGATCAGCTTCGTCTTCTTAGGAATTCACTTTGTCACTCAACAAGTTCTGAGATGGACAAACTCACCTTTGACCAGTGCGTGAATTACGCCAAAGATGCGTTTCAAGCCCTTGGTGTCTCAACAGCCCCAATCGACGCCGTTGGTAGTTTGACAGAGTCGGACTTTCCCACAAATGAAGTTCGTGCTTTGGAAATGCGACTACGAGACGAGACTCGAGCGTACATCAATTTTCTCGAGGAAGTGGACTCAGATATTACTGAGGTAAAAGCGATATCACGGGCCTTAAAAGCAGGACAAGAACAGCAGTACCCGATTCTCTCAAGTCTGAGTTCAGATGTCAGTGATGTGAAGCAGAAAGTTGAAGAGGATGTTGCGAACAAAGAAGACATAACTAGGTTGGAGAAGAAGATGGATGAGTTGAAAGAAGGACAACGCGAACGTGATGCTCAAAGTAAAAATTCAGGTATGAGTAAAGAAAGAACATTGAACACCTAACCGAGATACATGTAGATTGTACGACGGCGGTGGTCCTTTGAAGTCATTGAAGCATTAAGTTAGTTAAAGCCACACTTTCTTAAATAATTATTAATGGGTTCTAGAATTTTATCAGAAACAAGGAAACTTGAATATCAAGTGTTTCCTCGCGAGTTCGTTCGCTCAAGTTCCAACGTTCACCACAAACTCGCTTGAACACGGTTGTCGCAGGCTTTCACCTGTATGGCAGGCTCGCGCCCCTGATTTTCTTCTTTTAACATCATTTAAGGATTTTTTTAAAAGACTTAAAAACTTTTTAAAAAAAATTCGACGGCTTGTCATGAATGTAACAGGCGAAAAAAGGAATTTAATTAAAACAGAACTTTTTCGAGGGGCAGTGGTTCCTGGATCTTCATTTTTATACTTGAATTGCAATTTTAATCTCTTTAAAAGACAGTTATTCCTGACTTCCACAACAGATGAAGCCACTTATTTATTTACCTTAGCATGCGTTTTCCGCTTACCTTTTATGTCATTTTTTCCCTTAAAGGAACGAAGTCTTTTTTCTCAAATGCCGCTCTACCTTCCGTGGTTCCAAATTTTACAGGTCGTCAGAGAGAGTGCGAGGATATTATCAGGCACGTGACATCGAAGTCCACCCGACTGGTGTCAATCTGCGGTTCACCTGGATTCGGAAAAACTTCTGTCGCGATTGCAGTGGGACACACTGTTCAGTCTCGAGGAATTCCTGTTTATTGGATCTCATTAAGAGGACTCCATTCCAAAGCAGATCTGACTTCAAAGTTTCTTAGTTTTCTGAGGCAACCCACCACACAAACCAAACTGCCCGATCAGCGTTTATCCATTGATGACGAGATTTGCCTACTATTCAGTGAAATTTCAAAGCCATCTGTAGTTATTCTTGACAATGCAGATGATTTGCTGGAAACTGGTTGCCCGAAATTAAAGGAAGAGGTCATACAACTTTTTGGAGAAATTCTTAGGCGAAATCAAAAAGTTACATTTGTTGTAACCGCAAGAGAGTCTCTTGACTATATGGACCTTAATTTTCAAGGCCATTGGGATTTAAGAATAAAACCACTGGATGACGCCTCTGCTCAAACTCTGGTTTCTGAATTACTTCCGAATGCAAGCGTTGCAGACTCCACTAAAATCGCACATATCTGTGGACAAGTCCCTTTAGCCATGAGATTAATGTGTTCTTTAGTATCTGAAGAAGATAGTACACAACCGCGCCATTTTCTAGATGTTTTCATGACGTCTTCGAAAGGAAGGCTTCTTGAAATGTTGGACAATCCAGATTACCCAGCTTATCACCGATTACAGTTCTTGTTTGACTCCTCCCTCCAGAGACTAACTCTGCATGAACAAGAAGCACTTGTATCTTTGAGCATTCTTCCCGACAACTTTAGCAAAGAAGTGGCTGCAGCTGTTTTAGGTAAGACGGGGACTATTGAGGCAATGAAGATATTACGAAGCCTTCGGAGAAAGTCACTGATTGATTCAAGCTCTAAACCGGGGTTATTCACGATGCACAAGCTTTTACAATCATTTGCGAGAGAGAAAGGAGAACAAGAGATGACAGAGACGATTCTTGAATCACGGGGTCGTCTGAAAGCGTTCTACATTTCAATTTTTGAGAAGCTTAATGAGCAATTTCTTTCCGGACATTCAATGGCAGCATACATTGCGTTCTACGAAGATAAGGAAAAGATTATTGAAAGTCTTGTAGAGGGCTGTTCAGATTCCAAAACAGCTGACCATGTTTTCAACATTTTGGTAAGAGGGGAGTTGTTTCTTCACTCTCTTTTTTGGAGTCCATATGAGGAAAAAATCTTTGATCGCATTTACGATGCAGCCATAAAAGCAGCCAGTGAGCATAAAAAGGATAAATATATCACTCAACTTCTTACCTCCCGAGCTTTGAAAGAGATACAGTATGGAACAGAGGGAAAGACGAAACAGTTTCTTTCTAAAGTGAATGAAATTCATGCCACGTCCCCCCTTGTTCCTCACCACGAAAAAGGAAAGTACTTGTGCTATTTGGGAATCCATTGCTTTTTTGAAAAAGAAACAAAGATCGGAGTGGAGTCCCTGACGGCGGCTCTGTCATTTCTTCGCAATTGCAACAATCCAGAGCAAACAATTCTTAAGCTTGTTATTTTTCAGATACTTGCCGTTTATTATCGGTCCCTTAATGACTTCTCTACTGCAAGTAAGTTTTATGACAAGGCACTGCACGAATGCAGTGAAGTTGAAGACAGGGATCTACTTGTTATCTCATCGGTGACAAGGGAAACAAAGAAAACTACCAATGAAATACATATTCAAAGCGACTCGGAAATTTTGCTAAATCAACCGCTAAAATGTGAAATTGCCCTTCTATTAACCGAAGCAACGATCTCCTTCTCTGGTTCTGACACCGAGCAATATACAAGCAGCTTGGTTCTCCAAGTACTACAGAGTGTCGAAAGAGAAGTTAAAGTTTCAGTTGGTCTGCTTAGTTTCCAAAGAAATATGACACTTTTTTTGTGGGCATTAAGTTGTGAAGACCCCATATAACTGTATATCTCAAGAATCAATTACCATCAAACAGTACTAGAAAAATACAAAAACAGTTCATGCCAGCAGAGAGAAGAATTAAGCGGTTTAACAGATATACACAATGACGCACTTGCCAAGTGCTACAAAGACCTGGCTGAAGTTTACAAAGAAAGAATGAACTACCCAGAAGCTCTACAAGCAATCCAGCAAGCCCTTTTGGTAACAAGAATGCATTTTGGGGAAGAACATGAAAGCACTGCTGACAGCTACAGGGAACTCGGTGTAACACAACACCAAATGCATGACTACAAAGCAGCTCTTCAGTCTGACCAGCGTGCATTAGCTATACGCATTACACTGTTTGGAGAAGAACATGAAAGCACTGCTGATAGCTACAGGGAACTCGGTGTAACACAACACGCAATGCATGACTACAAAGCAGCTCTTCGGTCTCACCAGCGTGCATTAGCAATACGCATTAAACTGTTTGGAGAAGAAACTGAACGCACTGCTGACAGCTACGGGGAACTCGGTGTAACACAACACGCAATGCATGACTACAAAGCAGCTCTTCAGTCTCACCAGCGTGCATTAGCTATACGCATTAAACTGTTTGGAGAAGAACATGAAAGCACTGCTGACAGTTACAGGGAACTCGGTGTAACACAACACGCAATGCATGACTACAAAGCAGCTCTTCAGTCTTACCAGCGTGCATTAGCTATACGCATTAAACTGTTTGGAGAAGAACATGAAAACACTGCTGACAGCTACAGGGACCTCGGTGTAACACATCACCAAATGCATGACTTCAAAGCAGCTCTGCAGTCTGACCAGCGTGCATTAGCTATACGCATTAAACTGTTTGGAGAAGAACATGAAAGCACTGCTGACAGCTACAGGGAACTCGGTGTAACACAACACGAAATGCATGACTACAAAGCAGCTCCTCAGTCTCACCAGCGTGCATTAGCAATACGCATTAAACTGTTTGGAGAAGAAACTGAACGCAATGCTGACGGCTACGGGGAACTCGGTGTAACACAACACGCAATGCATGACTACAAAGCAGCTCTTCAGTCTCACCAGCGTGCATTAGCTATACGCATTAAACTATTTGGAGAAGAACATAAAAGCACTGCTGACAGCTACAGGGAACTCGGTGTAACACAACACCAAATGCATTACTACAAAGCAGCTCTTCAGTCTCACTAGCGTGCATTAGCTATACGCATTAAACTGTTTGGAGAAGAACATGAAAACACTGCTGACAGCTACAGGGACCTCGGTGTAACACATCACCAAATGCATGACTACAAAGCAGCTCTTCAGTCTGACCAGCATGCATTAGCTATACGCATTAAACTGTTTGGAGAAGAAACTGAAAGCACTGCTGACAGCTACAGGGAACTCGGTGTAACACAACACCAAATGCATGACTACAAAGCAGCTCTTCCGTCTCACCAGCGTGCATTAGCTATACGCATTAAACTGTTTGGAGAAGAACATGAAAGCACTGCTGACAGCTACAGGGATCTCGGTGTATCACAAAACGCAATGCATGACTACAAAGCAGCTCTTCAGTCTAAACAGCGGACATTAGCTATACGCATTAAAATGTTAGGAGAAGAACATGAAAGCACTGCTGACAGCTACAAAACACTCGGTGTATCACAACATCAAATGCATGACTACAATGCCGCTCTTAAGTCTCACCAGCGTGCATTAGCTATATGCATGAAGCTGTTTGGAGACGAACATGAACGAACTGCTGACAGCTACAGGGAACTCGGTGTAACACAACACGCAATGCATGACTACAAAGCAGCTCTTCAGTCTTACCAGCGTGCATTAGCTATACGCATTAAACTGTTTGGAGAAGAACATGA